CACACACACACACACACACACACACACACACACACACACACACACACACACACACACACACACACACAAAACAACTCACATTTTCCTTACAGTATCATGGATAACAAAGGCAGTAACTTTTAATCATGAAAAGAAGAAGGATGCTCAAGTAGTGATATAATGTGCCATGTTTGGCCACGGCTGCTGAGGATCAAGATCGATCTTGCGAATAAAAGATCCATGACTTTAAGGAGGCAGGAAAGAAGCTTTTCCAACGGCCATGTTATGATGTCAAAGTCAGAAGAAATCATGGAAGATGAGGAGTAATACACATCCATCTTTGCTCGAATCCCAAGAAAGCAGGAGCAAAGCTTCAGATCAGCCTCTGCTTGGAGTTAGCAGGTTATTAACATGATTTGTTTACGTAATACACTTGGCGAAGAAAAAAAGGCTACACAGAATTAAGAAATAAATTATTAGAGTGAAAAATGTGGCTGAGAAACATTTGTTTGTGTTTGAAGACATGTTTTAGATACTGATTTGTTAGCAGCCAGTGCTACAGTATGTGAATCCAGCAGTCACGTTCTGTACAATGTCTCGGTTCTCCTTCAGAACACACCAGGGGCCCTTACAGGAAACGGGTTGAATCTTTACACATTGCACCTTTAACAGAAAACGACAGATTGACAATTTAATAGAAACTAGAAAAAAAAAAAAAAAGTCTCGATTTTTTTCCCCGCTCTTTTTGAGTGAGCACCGCGAGCCGAGAAACACGAGGCTGCCGTTGTCCTCCACAACGTGTGTCTGTGACGGTGCACACAACAAATGAGTCCTCCCCTCGATCCCACAAATTAAACCAAACCCAAACTAAAATCCAGTCCAATCACAGCGCAGGAAGGGAGCCTCCATGAAACGTAATTTACATTCAACAATATTGGTAACGTGACTAGAAAAATAAAAGAATGGATGTCCAGAAAAAAGAGAAAAAAAAAAAAAAAAAAAAGGAGCTGGAATTCAAGAAAACGAGACAAAAAGGCAAAAATTAAGAAAGACGAAAAATGGAAAAGAAAATCCCAAACATGGTTTCGATACAGTTTAGACGCTTAAGATTCACTTTCCAAACGCTGGACAACAGATGAAACAGTGAGGTATATAGTTAGATGGAAATAGTCATCATCTTGTTTGTGTTTTCATTGCCCCGTGGCCCTCGAGGACCACCAGACCGCACCGTGGCGGCCCTGAGTCTGTATCTGGGCAGCGATTATCTCTGAGGGGCGAGTGCGTGCCCAGCACGGGCTGTCCGAGGGCGAGAAGGGGAGGGCTGGGATCGGCGTGTCAAGCTACGGCTGCAGATTGAGAGTGAACTTCCACTGCTGGGTGAGCGACGGGCTGCACACTTCCACCGTCAGGCCTCCGTTCCGTGCGCTCCGGCTGTCCAGGCACAGATTGCTGCCCACATGCCGCAGTTTGGAGTTGTTGTCGATCTGCTCCCATTTCTGCAATAGAAACACAATGATGATGATGATGTTGAAAATCCTCCTCCAAACCCCTGCTTTGAGCACAGCATGCTCACCTGTCTGTTGTCGTTCTCCCTGCAGCCCTGCAGTTTGATCTGTGAGCCAGCGGTGCGATCCACCACCGTCAGGCAAAGGTCCATGTGTTTGACTGATTTGTCTTTAGTCAGGGCCCATTCCTGTTCATGAGAAACATGGTAAGCAGGTAGCATTTGCCGAAAATACACCCACATAAATCTACACAGGAACTTCACGGAAAAAAATGGCTTGGTGAGAGGCTGCTATTTTCTGAAATGTACATAAGTAAGTTTAAGAAGGTTTGAGATGTTATGTGACGTGATATGCTGCTGTAATCCACCCAAAAAAAGCATGCTGCTAATTCTTTTATAATTATGCCGTTTTTGTGAGCTCCAAGTAAAAAAGGTGTTTAAAATGGTGTAAATAACATAAAAGGTAGGTTATTAATATATCATTTATATTAATCTAAATAAAAATACAAATTACTTATAATACATACAATAAATATGAATATTAGAATGAATGATTTTTGAAGGATCATGTTACACTGAAGACTTCAGCTTTGCCATCATAGCAATAAATTACATTTCAAAGTATATTACAATTATTTTAAAATGTAATAACATTGCACAATATTACTGTTGCACTGTATTTTTGAGCAAATACATTTATATATAAATTAGGTTATATATTAAAATAAACAAAATGCAAAAAAAAAAAAAAGGAACAAAAGCATGTTGATAAATCTTTCATAATTAGTTTGCATGCACCTTAATAAATGTACACCTACATGCAATTTTTATATTGTATTCAAATGTATTTATTTTTCTATATTACCACTAGTTTCGCATTATTACCATTAGGAAACTAGTCACATTATTATTATTTTCATTATACTTTTATACTTGTAATTTTAACTAGTCACTATATTATGTTATGTTATGTTATGTTATGTTATGTTATATTATATGTTATGGATTTAATTTTCATATTCAAATAGACAAGTATATACAAAATGTAATAACATTGCACAATATTACTGTTGCACTGTATTTTTGAGCAAATACATTTATATATAAATTAGGTTATATATTAAAATAAACAAAATGCAAAAAAAAAAAAAAGGAACAAAAGCATGTTGATAAATCTTTCATAATTAGTTTGCATGCACCTTAATAAATGTACACCTACATGCAATTTTTATATTGTATTCAAATGTATTTATTTTTCTATATTACCACTAGTTTCGCATTATTACCATTAGGAAACTAGTCACATTATTATTATTTTCATTATACTTTTATACTTGTAATTTTAACTAGTCACTATATTATGTTATGTTATGTTATGTTATATTATATGTTATGGATTTAATTTTCATATTCAAATAGACAAGTATATACAATCAACCAAAAATTATTCAGCTGTTAAATTTAAGTACACAATGAGATAATACCAATTTAGGTCAACCAATTACCAAGCAATGCCTAATTTTGCTCAGTCTGCGGTGTAAAAAGTTTCATTAGCAATTAAAGAAAAACACTTAAGAAAAACATGGTCAGGTCAAGGTATTTGAATAATTTTTGGTCCCAAATTTTTGTCAGTTTTACTGGTAGGCCACTGTACGAAGAATTTTTAGTATAAAAATATCAAAAAATTATATCTGGTGTCTGAATAATTTTTGGTTTGACTGTACATGTAGAAGTGTGATTAACCATTTAAATCCATCAGACTTGCACACTGTGATGATAAACACAGATAAAAGTAATCCAGAAACTACCATGCGGCCCTAATTTATACGTCGCTCACCCTCCACAAGTGCATCGCTCATTTAAACGAACCCAAACTCACTGCCGAGTCCATCACCCAGTGCTCTGCTGCCACACCTGACATAAGACTGTTCAGTACCTGAGATCGGATTGGTACCTGATTGCCCCCTGCATTGTGGCACTCATACACCCCCACCACGCCGTCAGCAAAGTGTCCCAGTGTGTCCAGACAGTTCTGACCCTGCTGTAGTGCTCCAAAGGCTATGTCCTGATGATCAGGGACCCTAAACAAGACAGAAACAAGAAACGAGTTCGGTACCAATTACACAACCTTTTGAACTGCATTCACTGGTTGTCGACTCCAATAAAATTCTATCACTTTAACTTTACATGTCTAGACTTAAATTAAAACTGCCGGCACATTTAAACATTACGTGAAAACGTTAAAGACTCTGTTTACACTTTATCAATCATTGTGCCAAATCAAAGGTTTATGCACAGAAAGCAAAAAGCTCATACATACCTATGAACAAAACTTCACAGACTAGCAGGTGTAAATACGGTCAAAGTAATCCAACAGCTATTTTACCGTAGCTCAGGATAGACGTTCTCCAGGTACCACTTAAATGGTTTGCAGCCCAACCTCTTCTTCATTTCCAGCCGGCTCTGAATGCTGGAAATAATGAGGGAAAGCCAGTCATGTGGACTTCATTTGGAGGTCTAAATCTCTCAAAACAGAGAACTTCAACTAGCCAAGTCTGAAATTAGTGGCCTCTCGTGGCCTTGGCAGTGAGCAATCTTCACATGTTAAAGAAAACAAATGTCTTACTCTATTCCAAACTTTTCCTTAGCAATAATATTTGTAAATTAAAACAGATACACACTTACTTGCCATAGGGCACATTACGGGCTGAGGGCACAGCAGCGTAGTAGAAGTTCTTAAAATCATCCATCCAAACCTCTGCCGCTCGCCTTGTGTTCCTACAAAGACAAGCACAAGCACATGAGAGTAAATGATACATTTTATGAAGAGATACTGATGCTCTGCTAATGACCATAACATGTCTACTACATTATTCCTGAATCTAACTTCAACACTAATGGACCTTCTGCAGCAAGTTACTGGGTGCTTTATAATTAAATTTCAACTGCACTACCTCAACATCTCACTTATCACCGGCTGCAGTGCTGCATCCACCCACTGGGTGGAGTACATGAACCAGAATAATAAAGGGCTCATGTGGTTTGAGCAATCACCAAACCTAAGGTAAATAAGAATTGTGTTTTTTAGCTACTGTAACGTTCCTCACTCTGGGTACCCAGGAATATATGTAACATCTAGCAAGATTACAACAATCCTGACTACGGTTAAGTATCCTGAAATGGTGATAAAAAATTGATAGCTCAAAGTCTAACACACTCAAAATATAATATAATATAATGTAACATACTATAAATGTAATACAACACAACACAATACAATTTAGCAGCAATTATTTCAGTCTTCAGTGTCACATGATCCTTCAGAAATGATTCTAATATTCTGATTCTGCTCAAGAAACACTGTTTATCATAATCAATGTTGCAAACAGTTGTGCTACATAATATTTTTGCCAAAAATGCGAGAATATAAAGTTCAAAAGAACAGCATTGATTTGAAATTTAAATCTTTTGTAACAGTGTAAGAGTGTTAAAAGTGTTTACTGTCAATTTTGATAAATTTAATGCAGTATTAATTTCTTTAACAAAAATTACTAATCCCAAACTTTCAAATGATAACATAACATAATTCGATGTATACCTGGCAAAGACAGTGCCGCTGCCCCCTGGGAAAGTGTATGGATGCTGTTTCCGGAAGACGTGACCCACTCGACTGCAGGGAATGATCTCCAGATTGCCTCCGCACTGCCAGACCCGGAATGAGATCTCTGAAGATCACAACAGCAGCCAGAGATTAATAAGACATATCACAAAACACACAAACAGCCAGTTCATTAATGTACATTTCCAAATGGGAAAATAAGGTAAAGGGTCAAAACTCATAATTGCAACTGATTTATATTCAAATAAACAAAAAAAGCTCTTCTTTGTGAAACTTCTTGGTCTTTGCAAACTTCTTCAGACACACACATGCAAAATGCAACTTTATTCCATGCTGATGGATCATTTCTGGAGCTGTTGTAGACTTTTCCACAAGCAGCCCAGCAGAGAAAAGTGCTGCGTTTGTGGAATGAGTCAGGATTTTCTTTCAGAATCCGTCATGCCACAGACATTATGACAAAACCTGAAAAACTCTACCTCATTGAGACTTACACTGCAGTTTTCTATTCAAGTCTCGTTGCTAATAATATAAAAAAGCAATAGTTCTTCAGGTGATCTAAATTGCCCCTTACATTTCTGGCTGAGTAAGGCATTCTCTCATATAATCTAATGATACAGAAGTACCATGATTTCATTTTCAGTATTCATATACAGAGACGCCACATAGGATTTGAACACTTATGCCACATCAGTGAGACACAGATTTAAGAATTACACCACATTAAATTAAACCATGTGGCTTTTGTAAACAATTAATGCTGACCTTTTTCAAAGCCATTTTTCATGGTCCTAAAATAATTTTAGTGGATGTATAAATTCACACTGCCTTTAAGCCCTCATAAATAGAACCTACTTAAGAGTTCATAAATAGCAATTACAATGTAATATGCATTCAAATTAATTTAGTAGAAATAAAAACATATGCATTAGATAATTTCCCTTTCCCTTCTATATATTTAATGCAATATGAGTCCAGATACATTTTTGGGGCCACTTTGAATAAGCAAATCTTCAATATAAACAAAGGACACACTGGTAGATTGAGAAGATCCACTGTGTCTTCTGTCAGTCAGCTCCAATCAGCTTGTCCCAGCACAACATACGAAATGCAGGACATTTAGAGAAATAAAGCATCCACTCACCAAGATTCTCACCGCCCCACACGTCCATCATCATGTCGTACTTGCCCAGCTCCTCAAAGTAGTTCTTGTCCATTACAAAGAGGCCACCAGCAATCATGGGAGTCCTGGACAACACAAGCAACACAACATCAAATCTTGGACTTACTTAGAACTTTATACACTTCATAGAACTTACTTTCTATTAAAAATATACTAAGAAGTTATCTGATACACTGGCGATGTGTTTTGTTTCAGTGGCCATTTGTGACTTAAAACTTTGTGCTCATTTCACTCTCCAATGCTGTGATAGAGCAATCTGATCACAGCCTCATAAACAAAGTCATTAAACAACACTGGAATCATTAAATGAGAATGAAGAGTGCTGTGTCATGAAGACTTTTACACAGCACATCCCATAAAGGCACCACACTGTTTATTATCTTAATGTACTTTTAATGTAGCCACTGCACGGTGATTGAGATTTCACATCACAGCAATGCACCCTCCATACAATCCCCCATTTCGGTTGCTTCACACCTTACTTTCTCTTTTCCACTCGCCTTCAGCTGTTAATGATTCGAGTCATTCCCCGGAGAACAGACCTTTTACAAACAAGCAAGCAAGCAAGCACATGGGCTCCTGGGACAAACTTGTTTCGTTATTACAAGAACTTTAGGGGATTCTTTTCCCATGTTGACCCGTGCGTATTATTTTACCAATAATAATGCAGTGTTTGAGAGCATAGAAGTTGCACAAGAAAATCTTCAAAAAAACAACTCTAGCACTCCAGCCATTAAGTGTTGTTATTGTTAACTGAAACGATAAAAAAACTTTGTTTTTGTCAATGAAATAAAGCTCAAATAAATTACATTATGAATATTACATTAAAAACTTAAAAAAAACAAAAAAAACTAAAATTAGAAATGTCAACTTTGCAACTACGTGAAATAAGGTTAATCTGAAGTACAAAAATGAAACAAAACGAAAACTGAAAGCCTAAATCTTCAAGAACAGTCTTAAAAAATAAAAAACAGACTGCACTCCTATAGCTGGAGTTCTGTTTCAAGAGAGTCTATAGACAAACAGTTGACACTGAATTAATTAGAGAACAGTGTGAGAAGAATAAAAAGTAGTCATCTGTCAATAATCAATCTCCGACTCACACCGGTGATCCAAAACATTTGCAGTGCGGATATTTAAGAAGATAGACTAATTCTTACTTGATAGGAGCAATGGGGTTTCCCTGCCGTGCTCGTCTTTGTTCCAGGGTCATGTAGTCCCATTTAAAAACTAGATTCCAATCAAAACCTGGATAAAGATTAGACACATTACATTAGGGATGAAGTCTGATTTTAAATGTAGGTTCAATGCCCTGCTCAGCCATGTGTCAGGTAAGGGAATAAGGGAGCATATTACTGATTCTGATGAACTTCACTGATGAAAAGACTGAGGCTTTGTTCAGAACAGCATACTATCATGCTACTTTGACAGTATGCAGCATCTATTCTGTGCACAGCATTCAAATGTTTTCATGTAACATTTCTTTTCATGAAAAGACATTTTACACAAAGCTGGATTAAAACCACATTTGCATTACCAGTAGGAAAAACCATAGCTTGCCAAACAGCAAAAGAATAGTCTTAAAGTTTTAAGTAATCGTGGGGGTTAGGCTTTGGCTCTGTGTGAATGCTGTATCCTTAAAACCTTGCTGTTGGCATGTCTTATTTTCCCAATGCCTCTTGTTTTCTGTCGGCTGTACACAAGAATCAACATAAAATGTGACACTCGGTAGCTTTAGATGGTGAAATAAATGCAAGAAAAAAGAAAACGATCACATGCAAATAAACAAGGTGGCTACATTTGATACGCTGAACATTTCATAAAATGGAATGGGAGAATTTCTTATGTATACAGACACGAAATTAAAAATTGTTATCGGTAACTGAAATAAAGCTGATATAAATTCAATTATATTTATTACACCAAAAACGTAGAAATGCTGACTTGCCAATTAAGTGAAATAAGCTTAAGTTGAAGTAATAAAACGACAAAAACTAAAGCTAAATAGAAGTACTTGAAACTTAATAAATATGACAATTACTAAAATTAATAAAGTACTAAAAAAATGTTATATTATAATATATAAATATAAATATTAAGAATAAATATTTAAATATTAATAATATAATAAAAACTAGAAATGATGACTTCACATTTCAATTTTCTTAAATATTCAGAAACACAATCTGCAATAAGTTTAAATGGAGTATGTATTTTAACTGTTTGCTGAATTAATAGCAGACATTTATAGAGAAGTAAGAAATAAATTAAAAAAACAGTAGTAAGAACTGTAAATAACCCCAATATTTTAATCCCCAAATTCAAGATGCAGTATATCAAAGTAACAATAATGTAGCATCCTACTGTTTAAAAAGTTTTGGTACTTATTTACGTACTACTTTTTTTTTTTTTTAAGTACCATACAGTAAATACTGTGTATTCCATAGCATTCCATTCTGAACATATTCAAACAAAAAAAAATAGAGATAATGCTAGATAAAGTCTAAATGCCGGTTAACCAGCACACACGGAACCAGAATGTGGTGAAAAAAGCCCATATAAATAAAATGATATTTATTACATGCTGCTTTATAAAATACAGCGATACCAACATGGATAGATCCATTTCCATATTATTTCCCACTGCATCCAGAGACCTCAAAGCTCATAGAGGAAAAGCTATTCCACTCAGAGATAGAGCTATTATGCATAAAACCCCCAGACAAAAATCAATCAAATGGTTTCCATTCCAAAAGGACATTTTCTCTTTTGGAGATTCATCATGCTCTCTCACTCTTCTGCACATTGCGCTGCCTCCACAAATGCTCTCTGTATTGCTTTCACTCCAAACATGCATCTAAACATACAGTACCTCACACACAATATAGCCCTGCACATGAAATATAATAAATGCCATCTGCTGTACTACCCATAAACACACGCAAATACATGCATGAATGGATGCAATCATATCAGACACATGCACACAATCCAAAGCAATACAAGACTGGATAGTGATTGAAGTGTTATGAGGAAATAGGAGCTGATGAAAGAGATTTACCTCCTTTAAGATCTGCAGATGCCCCCACATACTGGAAATTGTCCATGTTAATGACATCTATGATAGGCGACACAACCCGAGTCTTATCCTGCCGAGAACAACAAATGATGTGAAGCTGGGCTGACAGTACTGTACAAGCATATGAAACGAGATGACTTCTCACATCTCTGCTACAATGCATTCTTAAGATGTATCTGATAGAAACAATAAAATTCAACCAGAATTAAAATCGCTGAAAGTCCTGACATTAAGAAATGTGCACTGCACTGCCGTTACGAATCACGGCAAATCCATCAGAAATACCTAGGAAAATCCCATTAATCTTGTGAGCGTCGCTGACACATGACTGGAGTATTTAGAGTTGAGTGCTATGAGTTAAACACTCCAGAAAAGACAGGCAATCAACTCTACGTGATAAGTGTGGAGAATTTAACACTAAATATAAATGCATTGCTTCTCAGACATCTTCCAGTATTCATCATGACAATTCTGGGACACCCTGACCAATCAAATCATCCCAACTGTGGCTTCACCTCTGAATTAACAAATTCATTTGTCACCGTGCTGGAATGTTTCCACATGGCAATTTTAATATGCATGTAGGTACAATAAATACAGTTCGTTATATTAATACATTCAAATTAAATATCCGTCTTCAGTTCATTTAGTGAAATACTAAAAGTGCTTTGCTGAATAAAAACAACATGTCTTGATTATTTTAAACTTTATTTTACTGTATTTTACTTCTTGAATTAAACATTTTGAAACCACAAATCATTGTTTGATTAAAACGATGGCTCCTGTGAAACTTTTCTCAGCATAACAGAATGTCAATGTTTGTATAAAGCAATTCAATAATATTAAATTTTCTCTAAATATGGGTAAAAACTAGGCTTAACAGTAGCTGATACTTTGAAATTCATCCTTTTTTTTTTGGTGGGCAAAAAATTGCTTAGTTACAAAATGGTTGATACAATTCTTAATATGTTTGGAACAAAGTAACTATCTGACATCTAATTTTTTTATATTATTTTTTTATATGTCTAGTGATGATATGTTTTGGTAACATTCAATATACAGTAAGGAAATTCACTGTATTGACTGCTAGTAGTTCATGTTTAGGCGAATACTGATATAAAGCTGGAAGAACTCTAATGACGACGAAAAGTGAAAAATGTCAAAAACCATTAAAAACCAATTCATTAGGAGTTCAGCTCTTGACTAGATCTACTCATCAATTTAGGTAGTATATTTCTGCTCATGCACACATGTACATACATTTTAAATTATAATAATTATTTTGCTTCAATATAAGTCCTGTGTAGAGGTACTTCTCCAGAAACAGGACAACATTTAATTCATGCTCGGTATAATCATCATGAAGAAGCGCTTGGATACATTCTGGGGTCACTAACTCAGTTTGATTATGTGCTTATCTGGGTCATCCGGCTGAAAATGAAGACACCTAACAATATAAATGGGGTTATGAAACCTCTTACTACATTTATGCCTGTAATTTGTCCTTTCAGTGTCTTATACTTCTACTCCGTTATTTATTTTCTGAGTCAAAAGCCTTGAGGCAATTTCAGAGTAATTACGTGTGCCTAGGGATGCAACTGAAGCAAATATTTCTTTTAGATCAATCTGATCCTGAACCAGAGCGGACCTGCACATCCGCAACTGGGGTGTGTTTACTTGCATTCAACACACCTGTGCACACACACTGAGGACTTATCTACATGCTGTACTAACACACGGTGTTGAATGGCACTAGTTCCCCTTCACAATATTCTTTATGGCTTGTTTGAGAATTGTTGGCAGTCGACAGCAGGATTGGATACAAACAGGTATAATGATATGGCACTCCAAGTACAGTTTGTGCATCAAGACACACAGCCAAAGAAAACAATAACTTCTCATCTACTCTTCTCTTTTATCATCTTGGCCTGACATCTGCAATTGCAGTGAGCTGCTAAACGTCCGCTGCTGTAATGAGCATGTGTGATTATAGCCTCCAAAAGCAATGGCTAATTTGCCAAATCTGAGAACCGTAAGACCCAATGTTTTGCTGCTTGTCAGAGAAAGAAACAATAAGACAGAGAAAGAAAAACATGGCTGACCTCAGCAACCCTTTCTAGCAGGGGCTCCAACCAGTGTTCATTACACTCGCAGTGGCTGTCAAGGAAGGTTAGTACATTGGCCGTGGCCGCATCCGCCCCTCTGACTCGGGATCGCATCAAGCCTGAGAACAGACACAACACAACACACAAACACCGGATTGAGACTCAAAAGCACTGAACTATGCAGAAGGTTGTCCTCCCTGTATTCTAACCTAATGATCACACAAGTGTGCAGGGAACCAAAATGACAGTCCAACATACACGTCAAAAGTACTGGTATTTTGGGTACTTCACAAGTTTGTTGTGTTCCAAAAGATGTTTTGGAAAAAGTAATGGTATGATGCCCGTGTATTTTTAGGTTAGTTCTCTCTGAAGGGAATGAAGGGAAGCAGACATAAAATCACCTATTGAATATGAACACAAAATTAAGCCATAAAAGGAAAAAAGGAGAACCTCTGGGAGTATCAGTGTTAATGCATCATATCTAATCATGCATTGCATTTTTAATTAAAATTATTTTTATTTTTTTTCTGAATGTTTATTTGAATACTTTATAATGTTGGTAGGTACCTAAAAATAATCTGGTGGTGATATTAAATCATATAAAATAATCTAATGCTGGTATTTTTTGCCTTATTTTATTATCATCTATTTAACTTGTAATTACTTGGGGAAAAAATAATTTAAAACAACGCACAACAAACACACAAAAAAACAAAAAATCAACCAAAAAACAACATGGTTGTTACCATACCGCATGGGACGATGTAAGCAAAGAAAACACTTTCTTCTCTCTAAAATATAATAAGAGAAAGCTCATCTAGTGGCTCATGGGGAGACCTAAAAATCAATTTTCAAGCACTGAGAAACATTAAATATTAATTAACCTGTTTGGCTCTTTGTAACAAAATCTATATAATCTTCATGAGCACAGGTTTATTATTTATTCATTTATTTTTTGACATTTAATCTAACATTAATTTACTACGATCTTTACCAGAGAGAGTACATGTTAGTTCTTTCTTTTCTTTAACATCAAGTAATTTGTGTTTCAAAAAAGATTTTTGCAAGCAAATACAAGGAGCTTGTTCAGTTGGACTGAAATAGGATTTGAACGAAAGGCTTTGGATACGAATAAACAAACTGCAGTTTTGGCTACAGAACAGCATTTTTTGCTTGACAGATATATAAAACAGCTTCCAAAAATACACTCCAGCTCATAACAGACCATTTGCTTTTCTCTTCTTTAATTTTCTCCATATTTGCACCTATGAAGTATGCAGCGCTTGTAATGACTTCATGCTGAGGCTGGTCACAATTAGTCGCAATAGTAAAACTTCAGCTATTTTTAATAGACGCCTAGATTTTAATGACCAAACAAGAGCTGCTAGTAAAGGGCCACTGGTCCTCAGTGCTGATCCTAGACTTCTGGGGGCCCTACGCAAAACTGTGTCGGGGAAAGTGCTTGAGAAACAGTATCTCTTCCGCGGCTCGGTAAGCTTTCAACTTGTTTTTTTAGTCTCGAGCAAGACTGTACGACATTCACATTACATGATTTGACTGATTTTTACGTAGAAAGGGCAATGATCATTCATGTTTTCATAACCACTGGCCAAATTCAAAAACGAAAATTAAATCATCTTTGAGAGCAAGGGGGCCCCCCTGGTGTTTCGGGGGCCCTACGCAGCTTGCGTATTTTGCGTATAGGGAGGATCGGCTCTGCTGGTTCTTACATATTAACTAGGGTATAGTTTTGATTAACAATGTTACTGTGATTCAGAGGGTTATAAATCACTCACCCTCTCGACGATCGTTCCGTAAGACTCTGACTTTCTCGATTTTCCCAAGTAAGGCACCATCTTCAGCTGAAAGCCCAGAGAAAACATTGTGTCAGCTCAAGTGTTCAGGGCAATACATCTCTTCTATTATATATGCAGTAGTTAATATACACAGGAGGAATGTGGTAAAATGTGCCAGTGGGCAACTTGTGTCACTTCGTTAATCCAGAAAAAGTCGGCACAATTTTGTAAATGTCACCATATATTTAGAAAGGGCACATCATGTACAGCTTGCTACAAACTTCTTTTTGGTCTTGAGAAACTTTAGGGCAGGGAACTACAGGTCAAACTTCTTGAGTGCTGGCCAACAGAAACCCATCACAAATGTTTTTCCACAAAGTTACATACTGAAGAAGCCACTTCATCTCAGAGTTAAATGAAACCACAAGGTAGGAGCATAATTTCATATTTTCTTGAAACCTTAATTGACTGTGTCCCTTTTTTGACATTTCTTTGGTCATATGTTACCAACTAATAAAAATTAATAGCAGACACACTGAAATATAATCGGGTGCACTAGTTTTACCTCCATCTGAATTCTCCTTGCCTACAGATGACAATTTGATTAAAAAGGGGGCACAGATACCAAACTCTCCACTACATATTGTGAAAACAAAAACTTGAAATGAAAATGTAACGGACAGTTCTGAAAGAGCATTATGTCCAAAAACAAAGACCATATTCAAATGCCAATATGCAAAAGTAGGATCACAAACCACACATGTAAAACCACAGAAGAAAGACGAGGAATAATAAGTCCAGTGCCTGCCAGGTTCCCTGCAGCAGAGCGTTATAGAGGAGGGCTGCATTGCTTTCAGGACAGGGTTCATACAGAGTTCAGACATCTGAAGAGGTCACACTAGGGGTTTGACATCCAAAAAAACAAAAAGTGCAATGGGCTGGGGACTCGGGAACACGGTTGGTGCCATGACGACACACTTTATACAATCAAATCTCAGTTGGACTGTTGTCGTGTTCTGCTATATGGATGTACTGCATGATTTATGTTGAGAAAACAAGAGTGTGTGATGATAAAATAACTTGTACAGGGTAAAACACTGACCAAAAACCATGATGAAACCGATTGTATATGATTGTGAGATGATTTAAGTTCTGTACCATTTAGTTGGATTGGTATCTAAAGATCAAAACACTTACGGCTGTCACTGTAGTCGTCCACCAAGATGATCTCTTTGACCAGATGAGAAGGACTCTTCTTCAGCACACTGAAGACAGGAAAAGAGGACGGGTTGAATGCATGTTTATGCTTAAGTGTAGAGAGAGAAAGAAATCTTAGTCTAGATCTTAGTAGATATGTCAAAAGTAGAGGTACGTTATTGTTCAATAGTTTATAGGATAATTTTTAGTTTAAAAAAAAAAAAATCATGTAATATTTGTATTACATGAGGATGCATTCACATTAAAGACATTAAAATTGTTATAAAAAAAATAATGTTTCTTTTGAACATTATATTCATCAAAGAATCCTGAGAAGAAAAATATTCCACACAAATATTAAGCAGCATAAGGATTTTCAACATAAGTAACATAAATTTTACTAATATTTCACAATATTACTGTTCACTGTATTTCTGATCAAATATATGCAGCCACGGTGAGCTTTCCTTCAAAAAAGTTATACCGACCCCAAACTTTGGATAGCAGTGTACTTCTGTACTAAAGTGCATATGTGACATAATATTCTGTATTAAACACTATAATGTAAACACAGTCTAGTAGACAGTAATATGTAATAATTTGTAATATGAATTACAAAAATTAACAACAAAAAAACATGCACTTCTCTTAATTTGTGCTTTATTACTGACTGCTTACTTTATTTAAAAATATATATATTAATAATTAATATATAATTATTATAATTAAAATTTATTTTAAACTCCTTAATTTAAATAAAGGAGTGTGCTCAATAATAGTTTTGCTGTATTCAAATTAGTAAAAAAAATAGTGAAATTCTACTGGTAATGGCATCAAGATGTTTCTATGGTGACAATCCCACATCACAGTGCATTAAAAACTGTTATTTGACATGACGTCTCACCTGACCACAGTGCGCAGCAGGGCTGAACGGGCCTCGTTGTGGAAAGTGATAACCACACTGGAAGCAGGAAGATCTGTCCTCCACTGTTTGTGACGACAACTGAGAGAGAGAGAGAGAAAAAGAAGATATATTAACATATAGGCAACCACCAGTATATTTTCTTCAGAAATCGAGTCAAGTACAATTGATGATCAACTGTTCAACTGACTAGTTGAAGCATTCGAAAACGTAATGAGACTGATGGGATTTGTATTGAAGAGAAGCTCTACACAGTGAAAACCCATTGTCACACCGCTACACCTGAATGCAGTCTCACACCCTCAGAGGAGCTCAAAGCCCACATTCATTTAATGCTTCTCTGAGGCTGAGATGGACAGGAGGTCATGCATGCTTAAACTCTCTGGACTCGCGTCTCCAAACATGCACACACATATATGTGCACAGTATAAAGGTTTCAGCTACACACACCCACTGTTTATATCCCAGAGGTTTTAATTAGACAGCTATGGGTCTAATCCTCTGGTTTCCTAGCACCTCTCATCGAGGATAAGAGCACACAATGCTTCCTCTGCACTGATGCCATCGATTTTGTGGCCACTGGATGCCTGGCAGGGGAATCGGGGTCAATTCCTCCTACACTGCTGTTAAACAACAGGTCAGGGTTGAGAGCCCACCATCAGAGACTCCAAACTGACTTCAGAAAAGGGATGAGATTAGAGTCATCCATGACACTAATTCTACACACTTGGCATCCTATTTAATTCCATTACGGCCAGAGAAATCACATTCATAAAGGTATAAGGTGGTACATCTATATTTTTCCCCAACTTTTTTCAATCTTTGCATTGAATGTGTATAGGCATTTCAACTATTTTACACTCCTTGACTTCTTGGGAATACATTAAGGGGCCAGCACACATTTCTAGCCCTGTTTGCTGGAGGTCTCGGGAGGAATAACTGTGCAGTAGGCCATTAATAGAATGGCCGCTTTGACTAGAAGACAAGCACTTTTTAGAGCATATCCCATTGGCATGCTTCCCTCCGCTGGCCTCCAACCACCCAGCATGGCACCAAATAAACTCTCAAATACTTCCACTGCTGCAGCTTAAGTCAGTAGCTAATAGAATAAATGTTCTGGTCTCAGTGTGCTGAATGCACGCTTCTATGTTTTAAGCTTTTGATTAACTAATCAATATTTGTAATTAATTTAAGCTGTAATTAAACACCAATATTTGAAAAATTATGACCCCAGTAAAATAAAGATAATGTAAAAACACTGCAATGACAACAGCATTGAATAGATAACAAAAACGCATGGCAACTTAAAAATATATTTTAAATTAATATTTATATAATTAATATATTATTTAGAAAATGCATAAAATTCATATTTATACATTTCATATCTAAAATGATTTGCTAATTTTACAGTATAAGTTTCATACATAAAATTCTATTTTTGTTAATTATCATAATATGTTTAATAGAGAAACACGCATTCATATGGAAAATTTCTAATTTTAGATTACATTAATGTGCAGTTGCTGTGCATTAAACACCAATATTTGAATGATCTCTTATCAATTTTACTGGAATCTTCATATTTCTCTGCAAATACATTGCATGATGACAACAGCACTGAATAGACAAAATAGCATGGCAATTCAAAAATATATTAAATTAATAATTACAGAAAATAAATATAATATTTAGAAAATGTATAAAATCAATATTAACTCTCTACCATGTTTTGCTTGTTGGGGAGGGGTATTGTCCACTATTTGTTAAATATGACAAATACTCATGTGTTTGATCCACCTCATTCATCACAGCTAATATTTTTACAACATTAATGTACACTTGCTACACAATTATGAGCAGTGTAGGGAAGACACTTCACTGCAGCAATGTAAAGACAAGAGACTAAACAAGAAACACATCATGTGCAGAAAGACATCATTCATTAATACATTGGCAAGCAGGTCCTTTTTTTTTTCTATTAGAGCAGCGGTCCGAACACCAGACACAGGCTGCGGCCTCAGCTAGACAACAACTACACCCGCCAAAAACATTTCCAATAAGACACGTGGCCTGCTGCCATCAGGGGTAACACAACAGAAGCAGAGTCTCTCAGGAGTAAACAAAGAGCATGTGTTCCTCATTACCAGCTTAGGTAAGCGTTTAACAGAGGGATTTAAGACTAGTGCGCTTCATTCTTTCAGCTCTGGCCTGGGTAAATTTACTAGAAGGTAATGGAGCATATTCTCCTTACTTTTGGGAGAAAATACATAAGGTTGGCATTCCAGCAAGCAAACTATAACGCTCTGACCTTTAAAAAGGTCTCGCGGCCGTTTTAAACGCAAGGTTTGTGCGTCTTCTGCGCTGAGCGTGACTACGGCATTGGGAATGCAGCTCACGCGCTGCAGGGATGGTGAAAGAGCAGCGATAAGAAGACTTACAACAAGGATAATGTCATTTGCAGCATCAGCAGCTCTCCAGGAGGGAAACTGACTGACATATAGTGACAAGACGTTTACATGCAACTGCACAGACGAACACTGCTCAAGCCAAACACATTTACAGCATCAAACCCAGAGACGACTTCCACTGCTTATCAGAACGAATGGACAACATGCATTTTAAAGGAGACACTGCAGCATAAATGACCATCTAAACCAGTGTTTCTCAACCCTGGTCCTGGGCGCCCCCCAGCACTGCACATTTTGTGTGTCTCCCTAATCAAACACACCTGATTCAACTCATTAGCTCATTAAAAGAAACTCCAGGACCTGAAATGGGTGTCAGATAAGGGAGACATACAAAATGTGCAGTGTTGGGGGGCGCTCAGGACCAGGGTTGAGAAACACTGATCTAAACCAAAGAAGGGCAAGCCAAATTCTTGGATATTAAAGCATTCCTTTCTGAATATGTATTATGATGAATACGCTTTTGCACATCCCATTTTAATTCTCTGTGCAATGCCTGTAACACTGCAGAAACCATTAAATGATCTAATATGACAGAACACTTAAATTTAGAGTCTTTTCATTCCAGTTTCCATCTTGGAATTGTACTGAATTCATCTTGGTGGTCTATTCAGTCATACAATAAGCCTTCAATATTTAATAATATTAATAAAAACATTAAGTTTTAATTTGTTAACATCTATTTTTGTTAGAAATAAAAACATGTTAATCAATAGCTTCAGCCTTAGACTTACAAATCTGTGAAGGCTCTGTATATTTGCTGAAAGCAGAAGCTGCAGCAGCTATCTGAGGTTATTTCTCTGAATTCTTCTCTTACCAGCAGTTAAAACATTTCAAGTTAATACTAACATTAAATATTATCTATTCATCTAGTAAGTTGAGGTCTAGGTCAGAGCTGACAGAGCAGCAATGTTCAGCAAAGTGCACTGCCCCCTCATTTAGATGCACGCTCTTTTATCATTCGACTGCGCTCCATTCCAGAAAAAATCTATTTTAAAAATTCACAAAATAAAATACAGCCAAACACACTATAATTGCAGGAAAGAACCTAATGCATTTCAGATTACAACTAGTTTAAATAAAAAAGCACATGCCGTGGTCCTTTTCGACGCGATCGACCCGGGTCCCCTTTTTTTCTCCCTTTTCATATCTCATATCACATTGGAAAGGCATTTATTTTCAATAAAAATGAAGGAAATAATCGAAAAGTTTAATTAAATTGATAATTTACACTCATAACGTTATTATTGCATACTGTTTTATAATTTACTACAATACTGAGGTGCAGATAATTGCCACTATTTGCATGGCTATTTGCACTTAGTGTAATAAACTTTTAACTTTCTATTCATCAAAGAATAGAATACTGAAACAAACATCACAGTTTCCACAAATATTAAGCAATATATCATAAGAAAAACAATAGAGAATATTGTTACATTGTCATTGTTACAATAGAAATATTATTTTAAATTGTAATAATATTTCAAAATATTACTGTTGTTCCTGCATGTTAAATCTTCCTGCATGTGCAGCCTAGGTAAGCATAAGAGAAAAAAACAACCCAAACTTGATGGTAGTGCACATCAATAAAATATCTGAACTCTTGACCTCGTGTCTAAAAGAAATTTCCTGTCGCTAATGTTTACATTATAACCCACCTTTCACGGAAGGAGATGAGAAGTATTTGGTAAATCGTAACAGAATATGATCTGAACATCTTGCTCGGTTCAGGTCAGGTCACACGTGACGGTCTCCAACACACATCCATTTACAATGCAATTTGAACTCTGTCCAACCGAACCATAGTCAACAACGTTTGAGAGCCGTGCCAGTAACATCCCCTGCCAAATGACTAAAACAGACATCCAGCTGACGTGAGATTACGATGCCCAAGAATAAACATGTCAACCATTATGTACTCAACACAATCTACCCCCCCCCACACTTCACACATACAGCGGGGGCCAGATGTCCGAGACCACTTTGGGATTTTTAAAAATGTGAAACAAAGAAACGTCAAGTAAAATAAGTATGCACTACTGATTTTCTAGGTCTCTATACAAATAACTTAATTTAAGTCATTGATAATGTGACTTTCCGTACAGACGGTTATATGTTCTTGCTTCCATTGACGCTCAAGATGCTCTTTGGATCACGGAGAACGTGTTCGTCAAGTTTTACACAACCTGTAATAAACATTTGAAAGGCAAATTTAATCAAAATGCACATTTGTCCATTATTTGCAAACATATCCAGTGTTTTCCCCTTACTAGTGTTGCATTCTCTTTATTTTCCTTTTTAGCTCCAAAGCACACTCATGGGAGGAGGGCAGACAAAACATTTCACAGCAATTGTACAAATGTGACAAATCAAACTTTGGACCTGGAGGGATCAGATCGATATGAAATACTGACACAAAGAGGGGAAATGGTACTGGGCAGTGCGAGCGAGAAACACATCTTAATTACACAGTCATACAACAGTGGGTCAATGTTTGCTTATGTGGCTCATGGAGACTTCGGTCGATGACTTCACGACTGCTCTGCCAGTTGCAGCGGTTGGCAGCACTGTGAGATATTCCCAAAAGCCAGGCAGACACCGGCCAAAGCA